GATAGCCTTCTGGATCATACCATACCTATTAAATTCCAAGAGAAGGCAAGGTTAATATTGTGTTCAAATAAATTAGGCTGCCTTAACATCTGACAGACTACCTTATTTATATTTAAAATAAGAGCACCAATTTTCCAATCATTTATTTTCTCTTGGACAGTTATGAACTATCGTCTAGAGCACTGACCACAGACCTGTAAGTAGGTCTCCAAAGTAGAAATTGGCAGAGGTTGGGAAGACAGTTGTGTGATAGCACTGTTAGTTATTCAGGACCTCCTCTGTAGGCAAACCTTGAAATAAGCTGGAGGAAACATTATCATCTCCATCTCCATGGTGGATTCATGGTGATTCTGAGACTAGAACTAAAGTATCCTGGCTCACAATAATAGTAATAAAAACAAATGGCACAGAGATAGAGCTGGAAAAACAAATGAAATACATATACAAGCATGGTGTCCTTAGCAACAAGACTGACAAGCTTGAAATTCCTCTGTTATCTTTCTATTCCTAATCATAACCCTCAAGACAGTGAGTTACTTGACCTTCTATGTCAAAAAACACAGGAGTTTAAAATACTGGTCCATGTCAATTCAAGAAACCCAGTTGACAATTCAAAATTACAAACGTGATTTGTGGGGAAACAATTTTACATTAGAAACTTTCTTGTTTATGCAAGAATATTTACTGTGTGTGTGAAGACAGGGAGGAGAGGGAGAAAAGGGGGGCATTAAAATCCCCAGCATTACTACTTACTGTCTACATGACCTTGTAAAAATTACCTAAAATAGGCCCACTCATATCTATCCCACAGGGATGTTGTGAGGAGGGAATTAGGTGGTTTGTGTAAAAGGTGATAATGGAACTTGTCATACAAGAGTCACTGAATGAATATGGGTTTCCCCACACTCTCCAAGACTGCACATGTCTCTTACTGCCAAATGGGACTATGTGAAGCACAATTTCAGTCCCTAAGGCTACTACTGGTCATGTGGGTAATCGTATGTGTCTAATCCTGTGACTTTAGCTTGTTTTTGGTATGATCTAAAAGGAAAAAAAAGCAAATGGGATTGTTTATCTCCATCAAATTCAGTTAGGTTTCCAGGTTCTTCAAGAAAGGCTAAACATACATATTTCCATTCTCTAAAAAGACATATGTATAAAGAAAAATGCATAAAACATAAATGTATGGTGTTACAAAAAATTTTAAAGGGCATATACCCATTAGACCATCACACAGGTTGAGATAAAAACTGCCAGCATCCGGAACACCTTCTCCCTGACTCTCTGTGTCCTTCCAAATCACAAAGCTCTTCCTTTCCCCTAAACAATATGGTCAAGTTTTGCCTTACTCTCAAAGTTTATAATAAATGCAATCATGGTCTATGTATTCATTTTTGTCTTTTCTTTTGTTTATTAATAATGTTTGGGAGATT